ACGACGAGACACACATTCTGCATGTAAAGTTGTTTGAATACAAGAAGGGAAACAACGCCTCTGTACCCACAAAAATATCGATGAATGTTATGGAAATGTTTTGAACGTTCGTAAGTGTCAAAGATGGTTCAGCAAATTTCGTTCAGGTGACTTAGGCCTTAAAACTGTGATAGCAGAGGCCGACCTGTTGGAATTCATATTGATGCTTTAAAGACGTTTGTCGAGTCTACCCCAAGGTAACACACTCGTGAAATGACCCTGAAATTGCAATACGTAAACATCTAAGGAATATGGGAAAACTCCATAAAGAACGTGTTTGGGTGCCTCGCGAACTCTCTGATGATCGTCGTTTCCAACATGTGAACGTTGCTTTGTCTCTGTTGGCGCGAAATGCGCGTGAACCATTTTTGGACAGAATTGCCACCAGTGATGAAAATTGGATTCTCTATGCGAATATTAAATGCCAAAAACAATGGCTCAGTCCTAGACAAAAAGCACTTCCGACCCCCTAAACCTGGATTCCATCTGCAGAAAGTGATGCTTTTCATTTGGTGGGACATCAAAGCAGTAATTCATTTCGAACTCCTCAATCCACAGTGAACTGTCAATGCAGAGATCCATAGTCAGCAACTGGAACGTTTAAATCAAGCTCTTCATTAGAAACGCCCTTCACTCGTCAATCGAAAAGGTGTTCTTCTTCTCCACTACAATGCACGTCCACATGTGCCACGTTTGACGCAACACAAGATCATGGAGTTTGGTTGGGAAGTTCTCCCACACCCACCATATTCTACAGATATGACACCGTCAGATTACCATCTTTTTCGTTTGCTGCAATAACATCTTAATGGGAAAACGTATACAAATGTGGAAGGTGTTAAAGAGGACATTGACATGTTTTTTGCTTCAAAGCCAAGTGATTTCTTTAATCAGTGCATTAACAACCTGATTGGGAGATGGAAAAGCATCATCGATAACAATGGAGACTATTTCATTTAATAAATATTTTGTTTTTGATATATAAGTTGTTCGGGTTTTTTCATCTAAAAAAAGGCGATATTAATTTCTTGACGACCTAATATTAACAGCATTGAATTTTTTTTTGTTGTTTTGATTTTATTTACAACTTCAGAATTTAATTCGAACCTGAATATCTTAAGACATTTCACTCAAGACAAGGGAAGGTTGTCTTAATATAAAAGTCACAGACTAAATAATTTTATTACTTAAATATAGTATTATTTTATCAGTCTACGTCTTGATTTCCTAGTAGTTCAAAAGATGGAAGCACAATCGAAAAATTTAACAATGCTGAAAATAAGATTTCAACCTCAAACTGCCAGAAATTGATTTGTAAAAAGATTTTTTTATATATTTTACTTGTCTGTAAATGAAACAAACATACTTTTTTCCCTACAAAACAATTTTTCCTAATAAATATATTTGCAGTATAGTCATGTACATCCAACGAATATTTAAAATGTATATTTAATTTGCCTCCATATTACGTTCATTCAATCAGTTTAGAAAAGTTCAAAGCTAAAATTATAACATAATTAATAATAGTAAAATTAAGAAATATTATATTATGCTATGTTGTTCGTATCACGTATCGGGTAATGTCTCGTTAAACAATGTTATTTAATAAAGGTTTTAATTTGTTGTAATCAACCAGTTTTAACATTTCCAGTTTTGACATATAAATGAATTGAGTTATAATTATGCTGACACACTGAGATAGAATCATATCCAATAATCACTATTTCTGATGACTTACTGGCTTAAAATATATTGTATTACTAACGAGATACTAGTATACAGACCCATCAGATGGCGCCAGCTTCTGCGGTTATAGCATTTCTTTAAAGGAAATCTTAAACGCTCCCCACTTATGGCTCAGTGGCAAGTATAAAGACTTACGAGGCTAAAAATTTGGTTTCGATACCTGTGGTGGGCAAATCCTAGATAGTGCATTGTATAACTTTGCGCTTAACAACAACCAGACCAAACTGTAAATTCATTTCTTTTTCTTGGCGACGAATCAAATACATCTTGTTTCATAGTTCAAACGATTGAACGGTGATACTTGATAGTCAAAAAGTAAAAAACAAATTCAGCTAAATTTCGAGCATATATATATATCTAAACCATTGCCTGCCAGTACAATAACTTAAGGTAGCATGTAACACTATATAATTATATCCACCAATGGTAATATTTTACCCTTCATATTGTCGCTGCGTTATACAAACGAATTAAAAAGTTAATCAAAAAAGGATTGCGGTAGTTAAATTGAGGATGCAATGATTGTATTTATTCTACCTCAGTCTTGTGATGTTTTTGTTAGTAATAAATTCCTATTTATTTACTTAATCTCAGATGTATTTAAATAAGTTTTTCCAGTATTTACGTAATTGTTATCCATTTGTGCTAGATTTTCAGGTTTATTTATTTAAAACTGCTTATTTTTATTAATATGAGTTTGTAAATTATTTCCATCCACGTTTTCTATCTTTTTTAAGCAATAAGTAATTTCCATATTTTAAATAATTTTCTTGGCAATCATAATATTAAAACACCACTTTTTTATGTAAGGATCGAGTCTTTGAATTTGCCTCCCCCCCCCCAGTGGCACAGCGGCATGTCTGCGGACTTACAACGTTAAAAACCGGGTTTCGATACTCGTGGTGGGCAGAGCACAGATGGCCCTTTGTGTAGCTTTTTGCATAAATTCAAAAAAACAAACAATAACTTTCAACTTTGTTCAGAAGCGCTTATCATTATTAATCCTCTTTATATATTCAGATTTTTTCCCACGTCTTATTCTATCCAACCAGACAGTTTGTTTGTGTGTAATTAAGCACAAATCTACACAATGGACTAGGTGTGCTCTGCCCACCACGGGTATCGAAACCCGGATTCTAGCGTTGTAAGTCCGCAGACATACCTAGGGGGCCCGACCAGATAGCGGTATGTTTGTTTGTTTGTTTTGTTTTTAATTAAGCACAAATCTACACAATGGACTAGGTGTGCTCTGCCCACCACAGGTATCGAAACCCGGATTCTAGCGTTGTAAGTCCGCAGACATACCTAGGGGGCCCGACCAGAGAGCGGTATTTACTACATTATGCACCACCGGCACTTGGGTATAAAATTTTAAATTATGATAAATACAAAACGTTGTTTTTAATTATTTATTATAATTTAAAATATTTACTACTTTGTTTCAAAATTGAAATAATTTGAGAAGTTATTGATTTGATAAACTAGCGTAGAAACTTAAAAGTATGATAACTAAGGGCCATCTTCTGGCGTCCTCAGAGTAGCTTTTATCAATACATTCCCCAAGACATTATGTAACATTTCGTCAACAGTCTTGACAGATAAAGTAGTCTACGTTTTGGCACGGTATATTTATTTCTAGCACCTCGTGCAGAAAACTACGAACGTGGCGTTTACATCATTTTTATGTGTCTCTGATGCTTTTGATGTCAATTACCAGAGAAGGCTGCACGATTTCATATATATTTTCTTCTCATACTCTTAAAAACCGAAACTTTCATTATAATTGCAATGAATATTACAAGTGTATTTTGTTCTTACGCCTAGAAGGAATAAAAAGGATTAAGTGGTCCATTAATTTAGTTTAACAGTTTCCGTTGGTGAAGTATCAAGAAGTGTAAAGGCAGTTACTAAATCGAATTAGGTATAAGATAATAAATAAAAAATTGTAAACTTTTATTTGATCAATTATAACATAATTCATACCCTTTTATGCATGATGAATAAAATATATATTAAAAATTTAGATCAAGGGGAGGCCAACATTTTCTTCGGCTCTTTCTATACAATTCGTTAGTATACGTCTCGCCACCACCCACCCACCTCATACACGCGCGTACGTTCTGGTGCAAAATAATGGCCTGATGTGGATAGATAAAGGTTCTAAAAATGAATTGGAAATAAAGTGTTGAAAGGATAAAGAGATTAATATCTCAAAAAATGTATGTAAGTTGCTATTAAAGGATATATTTTTACATGAATTTCGCTTGTATTTTATCCCCGATTTTCATCATATCTTGGCCCTACTACAACCAAATAGAGCAACATTGACATTCTCGTTATAAACATTTTCCTACTAGTTCTGCAAAAAAGTTTTTTATCATTATAATCATTTTAATGTTTCACTTTGCAATACGGAAATAAAAACGTACTTGGTCCTTCAGAGATTAATTTAAATGAAACCAAAGTATTTCGTAGGGTAAGCGATTACTTGTTAACACTTGTAGTCTGTAATACGACTTTAAATTGAAAATATCCATCGTGCCGGTATTAAGCAATGCCATATGTGAAGAAAATAAGTTATTTTAACCTTTAGTAAAATATATGACATCCTTAATTAAATATTTTCAATCAAATCAATCTAACTCAGGAGGGTGGTAATCCTTGTACACAGTTCTTCTTTTCATGGATACCAAGTTGCTTAGTAATCGGCAGAAACAAAGACAGTGATACACCTTAGGTTACCATATAGTTAAAATAAACAATGACAGTGATACACCTTAGGTTTCTATGTAGATAACAGAAACAATGACAGTGATACACCTTAGGTTACCATATAGTTAACAGAAACAATGACAGTGATACATCTTAGGTTACCATATAGTTAACAGAAACAATGACAGTGATACACCTTAGGTTACCATATAGTTAACAGAAACAATGACAGTGATACACCTTAGGTTGCCATATAGTTAACAGAAACAATGACAGTTATACACCTTAAGTTACCATATAGTTAACAGAAACAATGACAGTGATACACCTTAGGTTTCTATGTAGCTGACAGAACAATGACAGTGACGCACCTTAGATTACTGTGTAGATGACAGAACAATGACAGTGATGCACTATAGGTTACTGTGTAGTTGACAGAAACAACGACAGTAACGTAGCTTAGGTTACTGTGTAGTTGACAAAAACAATAACAACAACAACACTTTTATAGTATGACCATAAAACAGCTTTATTATACATGAGAACGTTTATTTTTACAACGTTCTTGGTCCAAAAAAAATTAAGATTTTTATGTAAACAATATACATATTACAATTACAGGGAAAATGTGCAAAGACTAGGCGCTTATTGTCAGGAAACATACGTTATTCATGGTCTCTATGTTGTAAAAAATCAAGGATATATATGTAGAAAAATATAACTAGAAACTCTTCGTTCCCTGATGAGCTATGATACAACTGGTAACAATAACAGCTCATTGAAATCTATTCACTCACTGTATTCGCACATTAAATATTTAGAGGTAGAATAAGTTCATCATCTTCAGTAATGATCAGGAAATGAAACCTCACAGTTGAAAGTCAAGTCTACACTTTCTATTTGTGATCGTCACATAAAACAAATTATTTACGTAGGTAATGGAACAACTAGAACGCTTGGTAAAATATGTAAAGTTTTGGCATACCTGTCAGAAATATACACAAAAAATCAGTTTCATAATTCAGTTCCAAGTAGAGCATTTAATCATTTTTTTATTTTTTTGCCCTTTGGTTTTCTTCTCCTTTTCGTTTTCTTCATAGTTGCCAATGGATATTTAGCCATGTTTGTTTGATTTTATTTATCATGAACGTGATCCTTGATGAAATACAATTATTTCTGGAAAACTTTGCTTAATTAATTATCTTTATGAAAAATAGATACATTATATATCAAATATTTTTAAATACACAAAAATCATAAGATGTTATGCTTTGTTAAAACAAGCCTGAATTTTTTTATAAGATTTAGTCGAGACTAAAAAAACTGTTTCACTGAGAGATTGGGGAGAATTCGCAAGTTTTCAACAATTGAAATAAAATTACAATTAAACGTACATAGAAATCATGGTGATACTCTTTTTAAACATAATTTCATTTTCAATTAGTAAGATTCACCCAACAAAAACATTACCAGAAAGGCCTTTATCTAAAGGCGTTATTTTAGATTAAAATCGACTGGAAAAGGCTTCAGTTTTGTAATTTTACCAATTGAAAACGGGTTATACAACGCTTTCTAACTTCAGATCATTTTAACCCATTCAAGCAGAATTGTACAGACCACAAAAATGTAAAAAAGAAAACATAAAAAAATTTCGAATTTAAAAAAGAAAAAATATCTTGCGTCACTGTTTATAGCAAACAACTTCCAAAAACGTGAAAGCGTGACGATTAATTTGCACGTTTTATATCTATTGAAACGCGAATCCATTACAAATTAGTGTTAGTGATCAAAGGCCTAATTGCACACCAAAACTTTAGTTAATGCTCGGAACATTCGTGTAGGAAATCAAAGGCCTAATTGCAGCGAGGGACCAAAGGCCTAGAAAACAAACATTCAAAAGTTTCCCTAATTATATATGGGAAATAATTATTAGCATTAAAAATAATTTTACTGGATATTTGCAAAACAGCCACCAACTTAAAGAAAAACTGCGAGAAAATCCAGTTTTAAGTCATTTTTAACAACTAAGACTTAAACATGACAATCAACAAAGATTTAATATTTATTTTATAAATAATTAAAGTACTTGCTATATATTTGCTATTAGCTTAACAAAATACGGTTAAGACATTAAAAGTCGGACCCAAATTATCCTGATATTTAGATTTGAATTTATGAATGTTAACTTGATGTTTAAAGGTAAAATCGAATAATTCGTTCAGATACATATTTCTGAGTGTTTCAGTGCTATCTATAATAGTCAATCATGTTTTAAGATATTGAGTTGTGATCATTATTACAAGTATTGATCTGGCATCTGAACACTGAACAAACGAACTTAAACACTTTGTTATAGCTTGTAAGTTGAGAGTACAAAGTTATATCTCTAAATACTTGGCACTTTGTCCAGCAACTTTCAATAAATATACCTTTTTCGTACATAACTGACGGCTAGTCTTGTCTCCAGTAAAAATGTCAAATTTATGATTTAGATATTAACTTCACATTTGTTTATATATACAAACTCAAAAATATTTACAAGAAAGCAAAGCTATACACACTCCAGCATAGCTTTTAACTTGTGAAGTGTTTCAATTTACACATATTTACTACAGGTAAGGTCACTTGTATTACTAAAGGTTAATTATTTTGACCTCTCTCAGTCTGGGGTAATCATGCAAAGTTTACACAGCGTAACACACGGCGTGTAAAATAGGCTGAGAAAGTTCCTCCCATTGAATGTTTGTTAAAAACGTCTACAGCATGCGAGTTGTCGATATTGATATTAAAGCGTACATTCAACTGGTATCAACCCAGCTTTCGTTCTGGAAACATAAATATTACTCTACTGCACTAATAAAAACTCAAAATATATTTTGACGCATTTGTTGCGTACGTCTGATAATCCGTGTGTATATTTTGAATTCTAACCTACATGTACATATAGCAAATAACTTCATATATCACCGTGTCATTTAAGCCTTAAAAAACTTATCACATTTTCCCACATTCCCCTCAATTTTGCTTTAAGCTAAGATAGTATAGATTATAACACAGCAGTGCATCAAAAGGCACACAAGGAAGTGATCACAGCATCTAATTAAAAAGAGTAACCCTGCCCCAACAAATAAATTCACGCATTTTAACTGGTCTTTAAATCTATGCTTACAGGCTACGGAAGACTAGTTGTGTTGTTTTTTAATTAGTTTCTACACTTCTAGATAACAGTGTATTACAGTTAGACCAATATTTCCAGTATACTATTGTGTGTTCCTGGACATTGTGTATATATTCCAATATTTGGCCGATCATTGCAACACCTGAATGGATTTTGTTGGAGCAAAGATGAACTTGGGATCAAACGGCGAGTTTGGGTGTGTGATAAAAGGGCTCAGTGGTGGAAAAGCGGCAAGCCCTAGACTGGAAAGATGAGGAGGAAACTGGAAATGGGTAGATCCAGTCGAATAGTGAGGACTGGAGAGCGTTAAAGGGCTCAGTGGCGCCCAAAATGGCAAGGGCATGACTGGTGTCTTGTTTTGGGAGAGGAAAGGGCTAGCCAAAGTAACTAGAGGAGTTTGAAGTGAAGCAAATGATTCCGATGTTGGTCTTGGACTGGTAGGAATAGGAAATATTGGCGGAGGCTTCACCTTAAATTTACCTGTCTTATTTAGTGAAATACTAACATCCCCATTTGAAGATAAGGAGTTTGATGGAGAAGCAGGAGAAGAGCAAGAGTCGCTGTCAGCTTCAAGTTTTGGTCTCTTTGCCGGAGAATATGAAGAAGACATATTTCTTTTGGGGCTGGTCGAATCACTTCTTGGTATATCGCTTTCTACGCGCCTTTTCTCTTCGGGTTCTCTTAATTCTGGAACAGAAATAGCTGGACCAGTCCTACTCCAGGAATAAGGTGGATTATTCTCAACCTCATGTGACAAAGATGCTTTTTTCTCGCTGTCTTCTCGAAGATCTAAAGGAGCTGTTTGAGGACAGTTTTCATCGTTAAGAAAGCTGCCAGGCGAAATCTGACCAGAAGGAATGTAAGCTATTTTAGTCGAGCTGTTATGGAAAGCAATGGTTCCATTCTTATTTATGCTCTCCATTTTCACGTGGAAAGGTATCTTATTTTCTGTCTTCACAATTTCCGGAAACGATACAAAACGATACACGAATTTCTGTCCCAAAACTTTTTTAATGATGTTCTTGTCGTAATAATACCTAAGAGCCCGACTAAGTTTGTCGTAGTTCATATTATGCTTGTTCTTACGTAATCCCCATAGGCGAGCAACTTCTTCAGCATTCACTAGCTTGAATTCACCATCATTATTCGTCCATGTGATGATGTGATTGTAATGGTTGCTAAGCAATAATTCCAACAAGAACTGCCATAGTGTGATATTGGTCTCCATGCCTATTAAAAAAGAAATAAAAACAAAATTGATTACAAGTAATCATAAATGAAAACAAAAAGTATAATATGATAAAAGGAATTATAAAAATAAAAAAGGATCTAACAATAAAACGATTTCATGCATGCCAACGACACCATAACAGAATGCAATACTGTCCCCTTTAAATGATTTTCCTGTATTTAAGGTGGTATGATTACATCCACAATGTCACATACTTTTAGTGTTTGATGTAATAAAGGATTCTTCTTTTCCAGGTTTAATTTTTGACCGTACCATCATAGGATTTTGTACAGAACTGTCCATGGCATCCGACCATGAGTTGTTATACGTTAGTACAGCCGTTTGACCACAACCAACAGAACTTTAAGGCATCCTTCCTGTAGCCTGGAGAGATTATGAGAAAGTTAAACGTTGTTATTGGATGAAACACTGAACGGGAAGCTAGCCATTAAAATCAAGCACAATCAGACAAGCAGGAAATGACGCAGATGAAATCACGGTTATATACAGTTACTTCATCACATCCGGGTCACTCCAGGCCAAACTGAAAGGAGGTGGTAGGAATCTAAAAGTCCGACCCTCAGTTAGGGGAAGTCAGTGATTAAGGCTACTTGCTTCTAATCGACTTTAGTTCTGCAGTTAAGACTGAGTTCGTCGTGAACACATTGCCCATCCTCATCCAAAATAATATCAGTAAACTTCCCGCGATGCATCAGGAACCGCTGGGGTGATTAGAGCTTCTACAGAGTGACATATATTTCCCTCTTCTGTCTGAAACTGGATTCCTCCCTTACCTCCGTTGTGTTCGTATCATAATATTCCACTTCGAAAGGATGTCCGGAATTAGGTTTTATCAATAAAGACCGCTAGGGAGAAAGGAAACGGGTCAATAATAAAAGATACGTGTTTTCTTTAGACAATTTAATGGCTCACGTGGCTTATGTTGTTTCTATCAAACTTCAGATACCTATCATTATCTTCTGATGACAAAAGGCAATCTCTTCCTGGTCCAATTCTTCTCGTTAAAACACATTTCAGAGATATGGAACATACACTGACTGAACTCTAATTCTTACCAAACGTGTGTTTGAAGTATTTGAATCATTTGATAAAGCTAACAATTATATGTTTTTAAGCTTCTTCATTATATCCTGATTAACATACTCGTTTCGAATTGATAACATCCCACCGATATAGCTCATTGTAACAATAGCAGCTGAAATAATTGCTTTCACACACAACTCCCTACTATAGTATCGCTAACTTTCACACAAAAATCTGTTGTAACAACACTAGTTACATAAGTAGCTTGTTTGGTTTAGTCAGAAGTTAATAATAATCACATTACACATTACGGTTTAAACGCAGAAAGCCGGTGAAATATTAGAAAACCAAAAGGCCTAAATTTTTATATAAACAAGTTAATTGCAGATGTTTTTTTCACACAGCCCCCTTAATTTGTCCATTATTGGGAAATGATTTGAGGAAGACAAAAGGTAGATCTGAAATGATAAAACTACCAGTTCTTAAGCTATTTTAAGTGTGTTTTTTTGTCTCGTTATGTTACTGAAATAGTACCACTCGAATGTTGTTTTATTTAGAAAATAAACAAAAGGTCAGAGGCTACAACACAGTAAGAGAAATCTTCATGGAAAAAATATTGTACTTCTGCAATAAAGAATGGAATTGGTAAATTATGAGTTGTAAGGAGTTAGTTTTTGTTTGTTATTAAGCGCAAAGCTACACAAAGGGCTATCTGTGCTCTGCCCACCACGAGTATCGAAACCCGATTTCTATTAGTATAAGTCCGCAGACTTACCACTGTGCCACTGGTGGGCGTAAGGAGTTAGCATTCGAAAAATAAAGCTACAACAAAATAAGATAGATAATAAGTTGACTGGTTGCACACAGATAAAATTTACTTGGGAAACGTAAAGAGATGAGTATTGTTACAAAACTTGTAATATTCCCCTTCAAAAACGCCATAACTGCAATGACGTAGCTTATATATAGAAACCCACAGTGCGAACTGAAAATGGTCGTCTTTGTAATAAACAGTAACCACTGCCAGCAAAATCACATATATTACTATGAGGACTTGTTTAATCACTTGGACCTTTAAAACGTAAACAGTTTTAGAATAATTTCTATCGCTGATGAGTTAACATTTCTACAAGCTTGTACACTGTTATAACTTGTAGACTTATGTTTACAACTGACGTTCCTCATGGAAATACCTCACTAATGATACTACAACTAATATAAAAGTACAGTTATTTGTACAATTCCACGGCTAATCGATCCAATAACTGAATATACTCGTTAATTAATTAACATTGATCACTTCACTGAAACTAAATCTTTACCGAATGACTAGCACCATACAAACTCAAAACTAAATCGACTGATTCACTGTTGAAGTTCATAATTGACTGGCCCACGAGTACTTATATCTGGTGTCTCTCTTCTAGATATTTGTCAAAGTTATAAATTTTCGTGACGTTATCCAAAGTATTCTAAGGTTACTTTTATAACATTTTCGATATTAACGTCATGCGCACTCTAGCGAACATCTAAATTAAACATCACTGAAAATATGGCTAACAACAACACATTTATAAACAAACCACACGTATAACTGCCAGTCACAATCATTAAAACTATGTTCACAACGAGGGTACGGAATGGGTGTTAACTAAGCCTAAGCGTTTATGTATATCCACCAAAAAATAATTTTCAAATAATATAAAATAAAATTGTTAATAATTTCCCTGCTAAATAGTCACTGAGGCAGTTCGCCAGTTCGCAATACCATCATAACGTTAAGCTACTTTTGGAATTCGTTTATTTATACGATACAGATTAAAAAAAAAAAAACGTTTTAGCATAAAATTATCACTTTGTTTAAACACACAGTTTACAACAGATTATCTCCTGAAAATCTGGCATGGCCAGGTGGTTAGGACGCTCAACTCGCGGGTTCGAATCCCCTTCCCACTAAACATGCTCGCCCTTTCAGCCGCTGGAGCGTTATATTGTGACGGTCAATCCCACTATTCCTTGGTAAAAGAGTAGCTGCCTTCCCTCTAGTCTTTCACTAGCGCAGATAACCCTCGTGTAGCTTTGAGCGAAATTCAAACCAATCTCCAGAAAACACGGTTTTTAGAGTTTACCTATCGTAGTGTTGGTCTTGGGACAAGGAAGCTGACCTGCTTGCTATTCTAAGTGATGATGCATGGGTTCATGATACCTTGATACTTCTTGCAAGTATAGCTGTAAATAGTCAGGATTGGTACTTCTCACGTAACGATCAAAGGTCCTTACGTGAGTGCTTTCCTAAGTTTGTATTTGTAACTAAAAAATCAGGGAAACTTGGTATACAATGACTGTTTCAAAATGGGAATATGGAATATCTATACCAGCTTCAATACCTTAAGTGCAATACCTAAACAACTTTTCACGAAACCAATCCAAATAAGTTAACTATTATTGCAGTCGTTATTAATGGAATGGATGATATGAACCATGGGTGTTGGTATGTTTCAAAAGTTTAACCATAGTTGAGAACTTTAGTGAGAGAGGGAGCAACAGGACAGCTCCGCTGAAAATGGAGTCATATTTAAACCAAAAATTAACACGGTTTGTGTTATTTACCACTAAACGACATAAATGGAAATAACACCTTTAAAAATTTTATTTCTCGAAAAAAAGTTATTGTTTTTAACAAATAAACGACCCAAATGAATTATAAGATTTTGCCAACTTACACTTTTAGAACATAAAATGTCGGGTATAATGAACCATGTGTGGCCCAGTAGTTGACGTGTCTAAACTGGGTATATTATAAATGTGATAGAAATTCTCATTATTCGGTTAAAAGGGCAATGCTTTCTGGTTGATCTCTCTTGGGTCAGGAGTTCTAATTTAGGGACGGCTATGCCTGAAGCTTGTAGTCTCTGACCTGGCCGTTTAGCCCATGTGTTACATAAGGTTTGTTTGTTTGTAATTAAGCACAAAGCTACACAATGGGCTATCTGTGCTCTGCCCACCACGGGTATCGAAACCCGGTTTCTAGCGTTGTAAGTCCGCAGACATACCGCTGTGCTATTAGGGGGCGCTACATAAGGTGATGTTCAGGTTGAAAATACCAATGCCGACTACAACTGAAAAGTGGTGGATTACTGATAATTTTGTAACATAGAATACTAGAGCAATCATAGTTGAACTTACTGACTCTACACTATGCACATTAGGTTAAGACCAGTAACAAGGAAACCACACAGAAAGTGATTACATTCGGGTATTTTTTACGACTACTAGAGCCATCACGGTTTAACTTACTGACACTACACCATGCATATTAGGTTAAGACCAGTAACAAGGAAACCACACAGAGAGTACTTACACTCGTGTATGTTTTACGGCAAAGGCTAATCAATCAGAAGGATCCGTGTCTATTTGTCTTGCTCTACACAGAGTATTTTTGTTTTTTGTTGTTGCTGTTTTGTTTAGGGGAGAGTAACTGCGTGGAACCACTACGGTAGTAATACTTAGGTTTGAACTTTTTTTTCTCTTGTAATCATTATCTATTCCTTTGGAATGAAACCTTAAAAACTACACGTTTCTTTAACATACACATTAAAGCTTAAATTGCGTAAATTTGTTTATCATTTTCACATCATATTTCATTTGTAGGAGAAATGTTCGATCCGAGTGTTCTTAGTTAAACGTAAGAAAGAATAATAGAGAAAATTGTGTGCACTCGTTTTTACTTCCCTAGGAAGCAAAGATATTTTAACATTTATAGAGATTTAAAAGTTACATTACGGTCTCTGAGTGTAAATGCTACACACACTCTTATTTATCAGTGGTTTTACAGGTTGGTTGTTTTGTTTTAGCGCAAAGTTGCACATTGAACTATTTGTGCTGTATCCTCCGCGGGAAGCGAATCTAGATTCCTAGTGCCATAAGCGTTATAGATTATCATTGGGCCATCGAG